TTTGGGGTAAGCATCAACAGGTTCAGGGATGTAGGAACTGTATGAGAGAGAGGGCAGGAGTGAGTAAGGAATTGAAAAGAGCAGGCGAAATAGCTGAATAGGGTGAGGGTCTCTATTTGAAAGGGACATGTTATTGAGCTTTAACAAGTTTAGAAAAAGGGGCATATCATAAGTGTACAGTTCATTGCATTTTCACACAGTAAACACATTCCTGCCACCTGCACTCATTCCAAGAAACAGAACATGACCAGAACTCCAGCCTAGGTGAAGGTGATGGGTTTGGGAAGGCTTGAGTGGGGCAGTTGGAGGAGACTGATTGGCTTAGGGAGGTTTATAAGTTTGAGAAAAATAGAATCCCCAGCTCAGTGAAACTGAGTAGAGGTCTGGGTCCAAAGCAGGAGGGTGTTGTACATGAAGATTCAGTTGCAGACATCAGGACACCAGGGAAGGCAGCCAAGCATATGGCTCCATGCTCTTGTCAGTGCTCAGAGAAGCAGGCATCACTCCAGTTCCACTGTGCAAGGTTGGGATTCAGGCACGTGGCCTCGCAGAGGAGGTGGGAAAGCACACTGAGGTGGCTGGGGACAGCACTATTCCACATCCTTCTCCTCATAGTTCCCACTCTTAACAGAGGGCAGAAAGATTGAGGACAGGCAGAGGGGCCAGAGTGCAATGAGAGTACACAGGGATCACTGAAAGGGAATAGCAAACAAGGAAGGGAATTAGGAGGAATGGGGAACAGAACGAGGGAGCAGGGACTAGGGACAGGAAGGAGGGAATAGCAGATGGGAGCAGGGAGCAAAAAGAATGGTGAATGGTTAGAGCACACAGGGGACACCTGTGGCTCAGAAATGCTGAGGGGACATAGTCAAAACCTAGTCACATCCTTCGCTGTAGATACTCAGGAAGCCCCTTCTCTGCTTCTCAGCCCCTTCCAAGGATACACCACTGCATTTCATGAACTGCAGGTTCCTAACCGTTAAAGAGCCTGGAGGGGACAGAGGCCTTCCTTACCCTGATGGTCAGTAAAGTATAACCACATGTCCCTCATCTAGGACATACTGTGGTCCCCAATGATCAGTCCCAAAGATTCAGAACACTATGGGCTGAGGATCAAATTTGCTGTGGTTGGCTGAAATTGGGGGCACAACATCCTGGGCGGGGGACACTTGTTGGATAGAATGCCCAAGGAAAAGACCCTTTATTCCAAGGCTGGTGCAGAAGAAAGCCTGTATGGTGAGGGGTCCATACAGGGTAGGGACTGGATGGCTGACCTGTGATGACATACTTCAAGGGGAACCTCTTCTCATGGATATAACCACAGTTGGCCTCAGTGGGCATGTAGATAGATGTAACCACATTGTTTTGTTTGCTTTTGCGTGTTGTCTATGAGGGGAAAAAAACAGTAGGACACTGGGACTGAAGAGCATTTATGGAGTGGGGAGCTGGGATCTTTGTATTATGTTAGGAGCTTTTGGGCCTCAGAGACCCACTCCACTCCCTCAGCCAGAGCAGGGTCAGGGGCTTGTGTTTTGGTGAGGAGGCAGGTGTGGAGAGGAACAGGTGCGGGCAGGGTATCCTGGTGATTTTGATCTAAAGTCCTGTGTGGTGTTGCTGAGGTAGATAAGTCCCATGTAGATAAGCCACCCACTATAGCTGGGGTGGGAGAAATGTGTCAGGGGCCCCTCGGGAGTCAGGCATTAAAGATTTTCTCATCTTCAAATCTGAAAAAAGTTTACATAGCACGTTTCCACAGGGCTTTATCACCTCAGGGGACTTCCCTTCAGGAACCAGGTAGTCCCAGGGTAGCACAGACAGTAAAGTGCTCAACTACTAGCTGGAAAGGTTGGCGGTTCGAACACACCCAGAGGTGTCTTGGAAGACAGGACCGGTGATCAGCTTCAGAAAGGTCACAGCCTTGAAAACCCTATGGAGTAGTTCTACTTTGGACACATGGGATCACCATGAGTTAGAACAGACTTGAAGACAACTAACAACAAAAAACCTTATTGTGAGTCCACGTGCTGTGGGCCTCGCTGAGGTCAGCCCAGATGTAGCCATGTTTAAGTTACAATAAACAACATGCAGGTGTGGTTGGTAGTACCCACAGGCCTGCCTAAAGGTGATCACTAACAGAGTGAGGAACAAAGCAAGGACCAGCAGAAGGTTGGGATTCATGCCAGGGGCTGAGCTTCATGGGGGATACTGAAGTGACCTTTCCCCAGCTCAGCTCACACATCCCACCCCACCCCACCCAATCAGAACAGGATCTAATTATCTAACTATCCTACATGATTGCTTTCCAGGGAACTGAGGTCGGGGGCTGGCCCCCACGGTGTGGTGTCCATGGGCAAATCATCCTCCAACCCTAGCGCAGACCTGTGAAGGATTCTGCATGGGGACTATAATGCTCATTTCTAAGGGTGAATTACTGAGGTTCAAGTGAGAGAAGATCTGGTCCCCACGAGCCTCACTGAGCTGGACCTCATGCTTCACACCTCGCATGGCTGTAAACCCCCACATGCTTCCTCTTAAGTCATCAGAGAGTTTCTCCCAAACAGATCCACACAGAAACATACAAAATGCCTCATGAAGGTGCTCACTTTAATGAATTTTCTAGAAAGGTCATGAGGAGAACATAGTGACCCCAGAACTACAGATCCTACTAGTTCATGCTGGGGCTCTGGAGCAGGCAGCCTTATATGCTGTCCTGGACTCTAAAAAGGGTTGCAATAGGGCCTAGTGGAGCTGAGGTACTGGTCAGCCCTGTCCACTCCAGGCTCCATCCTTCCCTTCCTACCTTCTACTTGACCTTCCTCCCAGGGATTAGAATACCAGAGGGCTCAGAGAACCAGCCCCAGACTTGGGGAACAGCGTTAAGAGTGCAGGGAGCTAATACACGGGTCTGGTGAATTGTTAGGAACTGCCAAACTCTTGCAGGCTCAGCTAATAGCACCAAGGACACAAGGGCCAAACCAGGAGCCAGGCCTCCCTTACAGTTGTACCCATCAGCGAAGGTAGATAAGGTTCAGATCCCTCCAGGGCATGACCAAAGTATAGACGTTAACATAGAAATTATTGCCTGCAGTGAATGTCCCTGCTAAGATGGATAAGCACTTGGTGATCAAAATCCTTTCATCCAGATCCAGGACGTACCGTGGGCCCTGGGGGAACCTCCCAGGGGTGCACAAGGTTCTGGAACAGGATCACAGAGGATCCAGGGGCCACCCTTGGATAGCCCAGTATGCCCTGGGGGGAGTGCTGGGTTCTTCCTGGTAGGAACAATGGGGAGTCTGATGGGAGGAAGTTTGGGAGTCTTTTCCTTCACCAAAAAAAATATATTGGAGCCTTCTTTTTCTCCAAGCACATGCAGGTCAACAGGACACCTGCATATTCCACTGAATGTTTGCACCAATCTGAAATTCTGGTTCCCCCAGCCCCTCACATGAGTCCAAGGACTTTTAGAATTCAAGGAGCAGGAGCCAGGGAAGGGCACGGCTATGAGAGCAGGAAGGCCTGAGGAAGGGAGTGTTTGGCAGGTCCCCTTGTTCAGGTTTTATAGGGGAAGAAGAACCAGAGAGGTGATATCCCAGTTTTAGTGAGGAGACAACTGTGTAGGGGGAGGTGTGTGTAGGGTCTGGGCTGGTTTATCTGGTTGGTCCTGATTCTGGACCCTATGTGTATTCGTGTATTTCAGTGCTGCAAATATTTTCTTCAAAGTTGGTCAGAGTGGAGGTGGGGAAAGGACGACAGGGGAGAAAGGCAAAGCTTGGGGATTTTGAGATCATATCCTTTCCCCATGTCATCTCTCTTATTCCCCATATAATCACTTTCAAGGAATATCCCACAAGCCATGGGTGGAGAGCCAGGGCTATCCCATCTTCCAGAGTTGCTAGCTGGGTTATGGGTGGGGGTGGGAAGTAGTACAATTCTGCTCTTGGTCCCCTGGGAGTTTCCCCTTCCACCCAGACTCACAGCAGTACAAAACCTAAGGGTGGGAACAGTAACACAAACAGGTTTGGATGGGGCATCCTCACTTTTCAACATCTTTTTGGTGCCTGAGGCAAGGAGGAGAGCTGTTTGCCAACTAATAGGGCATTTGTTAATGAGTCTGTCAACTGGAGAGATTTGTTCACAGAGGAATTTGCCAGTGAGGTGGTGATTTGTCATCAGTGAGAGGAATTTATAAAATAGAGGGCCCTGTGCAAATAGGAAGGTCCCTGGGTGGAGTAAACCATTCTTGGCTACTAGTCAAAAGGTTTGAGCCCAACCAGCAGTGCCATGGTGGAAAGGCCTGGAGATCTGTTTCCATAAAGATTACAGCCAAGAAAACTCTTTGGAGAGCAGTTTTACTTTGTTTTAACACATGTGGTTGCCATGAGTCAGAATCAACTCCTTGGCAACAGTTTTTTTTTTTTTTTTTTGGTGCAAATAAAACCAAACCCACTGCCATCAAGTCAGTTCTGACTCATAGTAACCCCCATTGGGTTTCCAAGGTGGTAAATCTTTATGGAAGTAGCTTGCCCCATCTTACTTTCATGAAGCAGCTGGTGGGTTTGAACCACCAACCCTCTGGTCAGCAGTTAAATGCCTTAGGCACTGAGCCATCAGAGTGGGACTTATAAATTAGTATATAGTAAAATGTTTTAAAGTACTGACTAGGGAAATTAATAAATTATGGTTGATAATGCAGGTTATATTACCATTACTGATGTGGCAGATCACCAATGCTAATGCCAATGTTGAGAATTATTACTAATACATCAGATTTTATGTATAATATGAAAACATTATTTTAAATAGTTTGCATCCCTCACCCCCTCAGCACTGGACACAGGATGCTCCCAACAGGTCATCAGTGAGATGGGTTTGTGCATAGGCACTACACAAAGACACCACCTGCTGGGTGGCAGTTCTTTATTTCATTATCTCAGAAAAAGACGGGAGTGGGAAAGTTGATGAGCATTGGGCGGGCTTAGACTTCTGCTGGGGGGCAGGATTCATACTATCCGGGGCCTCAGGGACTGCCAGGTGCACAACCCTGGCACTCGTGGCAGGCAGGCAAGGTAGCGGCTCTGGAAGCCCTTCTCAGAGCCTGAGAGAAGTTGGTCTGTCCACAGGCAATGAGTGTCACTCTCCAGGTTGCAGGGGATGGATGAACAGGGGAAAACCTGGAGAAGGGGAGGCGGCACATCTCTGAGGGCTTCTCTTCCACCCCCTACCTCCCCTATGGACAAGAACTTTCCCCTCTTCAACTATCAACGTCAAGATGCTGGGGAGACTTGGTATTTTCCCACCTAGGTACACTTAAGAACAGCCTCTCCCATTGAAGGAACAGTCATTGGGCTCTGCAGGGTGACAGTAAGCCAGTGAAAGGACCAGTTTCCTAGGAATGGTGTTTAGGGAACAGTTGCTGGTAGTCAGTCAGACAAGTCTCCTGGGGATAGGGAACAACTGATAGTAGTAGGGAACAGTTGGCAGGTGTGGAATTTAAGCACAGGAATAGCCAGTCTCTCGGGTTAGAGGACATCTGGGGCTGTCAGGGAATATGCTGGGAACAGTAAGAGCTGCAGAGAAACTATCATATGTGCTGGAGAACATTCTAAGGAACCAAGAAACAATCCCAGGGGGTTGAGAACAGACAGAAGACTAGAGAATAGTTGTAAGGGAGAGTCAGAGGGACAGAAAACAGCCAGAAGGTCCAGGAAATAGCCAATCCCAAGAATCAGACACGGGGCAAGGGAAAACCAGAGTTTCCAAAGAAACAGTCACGGGTTTGGAGAAATAGCAAGAGAAGTCAGGGACAACCCTAGGGGAGCAGTCCTAGGGACAAGGACTAGCCAGAAGGAGCAGGAAGAGCCCAGGGAATGATCTCCACGAGGAAAACAGGGCCCAGGCACTCACTGTGCATTCCTCACAGCCAGCAGCATAGGCTTTGGTGAAACCTTGACGCTGACCAGAGCTCAGACTGCTCCAAGGAGCTATGAAGCTGCAGGTGGTGATGTGCAGGTGCCCCTCCAGAAGTTGTCCTGGGTCGGAGGAGGATGGGAAGCCAACAATAAGTTTCTGGTTGGCTGGGCCAGGGGCAGTTGTTGTTGTTGTTATGTGCCATCAAGTCGGACCTGACTCATAATGACCCCTCCTTGGGTTTCCGAGGCAGTATCACTATGGACGTAGATTGCCCCATCTTCCTTTCGAGGAGTGGCTGGTGGGGTTGAACTGCCAGTCTTCTGGTTAGCAGTCAAATGCCTTAGGCACTACACCACCAGAGTTCCTGGGCCAGGGGCAGGGTAGCACCCAATTGGCATCCCTAGAGCACAGATCCCACTGGAGAAAGCCCTAGCTTTTTGATAGGCTGAGATTGGGGTAGTCCCCATTTCAACTGGTACCATTCCTTTGGGAGCCTTGCCTGCCACACAGTTGCTAGGCAGTGTCTGAGGGACAGGTTGGCGAGGTACAGGGTGAAGGGGTGGGGTCTCACCAGCGATGAGAAACTCCTCACTGTGGTTCTGGGACTTGTGGGAGTACCCACAGACGCTCTCCATGATAGGAGTATAGACGAACTGGATGTTAGGAACATCTCCTGAGGCACTGAACCCTTTGAACATCTGTTGATGAATGAGAGGAAGAGTCTTTGTTTTACTGATATAATCCTCCCCTTCCATGTTCTATCTCAAAATCATATAGCATCCTGAGACCATGGCCAAGTTCCTCGCCAACCTGTGGCCAGAGTCTTCTATTTTGATGGGAGAAAAATGTTAGGAACTTCTGGGAAAGGGGCAAAAGAGATACCTTGGTTATCTTGATCTCATAACGCTGGTGTAAGTTTGTCCGGTTGACTTCTGCGTTCCCCATGAACTTGGCCCTGATGACTGCAGGAGAGGAGGGAAAAAAACAAGTCAAATAGGCTACATAAGTGAATAAAAATAAAACAACCATAATAATAACACTAGACAAGCACATAATCAAACAGAGATGACTGCATGCAGACAACACATTAAGCATTTTATACATTCTTTAATTGACCCAGCTGTATATTGACTACCTACTCATTACCTGGCACTGCTCTAATACTTTTTTGTATATTTCATATATTTGTTACTCTACTCAGCAAATATTTTGGAGCACCTACTGTGTGCCAGAAGGTCCCGAGGAGACGCAGTTTCTGCTTGACTGCTAACTTACAGGTTGGTGGTTTGAACCCAACCAGTGGTGCTACAAAGAAAACGCATGGCGCTCTGCTTCCATTAAGATCACAGCCAAAAAAAACCCCTATGGAGCAGTTCTACTTTGTAACACATGAAGTCACCATGAGTTGCAATCAACTGGATCACAACTAACAAGAACAACAACTGTGTGCCAGGCATTGTGCTGTGCTCTGTGGATTCCTTCATTCATTCAACAAGCATTTTTTTGAACACTACTATGTACCAGGCACTGTTCAGGGTGTTAGGGATACAACAGTGAACAAAACACAAAAAATCTCCCTTCCCTTGTGGAATTCACATTGTACCCAAGGGGAGACAGACTAGAAACAAGCAAAATAAATAAGTATATGGATTGTTATAAACTCAAAATTCACTGCCATCTAGTCAATTCTGACCCATGGCAACCCCCATTGGGTTTCCAAGGTTGTAAATCTTTACGTAAACTGACTTCCCCATCTTTCTTCCACAGAGCGGCTGGTGAGTTCAAACCACTGACCTTTAGGTTAGCAGCCAAATGCCTTAACCACTATACCACCAGAGCTCCTTGGCATGTTAGAAAATATTAAGTGTGATGGAGAATTACAGAGCTAGGTAAAAGGGATCAGGAGTACCACGGGTCTAGGGTTAAAATTTTAACAAGGTTGCCAGGGAGGGTCACCCTGAGAAGGTGACATTTGAGGCAGACACCATGTGGATACCTGGAGGAAGGGTGTACCAGACAGAAGGGCCAGTATAAAGCCCTGACGTTGGCATTGGGTCTAGTGTAATCAAGGGAGTGTGAGGAGCCTGGTGTGGCTGGAGCAGAGGAAGTGCAGGGGTGGGTAGAATTGTTTTAGAAGTAGGCTCCACTGTGAATCCCACTGGACTGAGAGGGAAACCAAAGCACGGAGTGTGTGAGCGGGGTAGACTCACCTATGTCAGAACTGCAGAAGGCCATTTGCGGGTGGGGTACAGCACATGTGCAGGCTCTGCTGGGGGCAATTAGGCACAGCAACAACAGAATGCCAGAGGCCAGGGGTGCGAAGATGGCCATGGTGAGTTCTGCTGGAGTCAGGAGTCAGGCAGGGAGTGTCAGGTGGCCCCAGCACAGCTTATCTGCTGACCTGAAGGCCTCCCACCCCAGCGTGTCCCAGGGCACCCTGAAAGGGATTAAGGGGCTGGTTTGGACTTGGGGAGTGTAGATTTTAAGAGGGTTAGTGGTTTGAAGGGCCCAGAGGGGTTTAGGTGGTTGGGAAACTTGAAGGAGTTTTAGAGTTTGGGTGATTTAGGGGACTGGGTGAGTTGGAGGATTAGAGGGTTGTGGAGTTAGGAAAATAAGAGGGTGAAGAGTTTGAGGATTAGGGGGTTGGGGTTTAGGGGTTAAGGAGTTTGGGGTGAAATTTTGGGGTCTGAGGGGTGAAGTTTGGGGGAGGTTGAGAGTTTAGGGGTTGTGAACCTTGAGTAATATAGGGGGCTTGGGGGTAAGTTTAGAACTTAAGGAGGTTGAGGAATTTGGAGGAGGTTGTGGATTTAGGAAGCTAGGGGAATTTGGAGGTTTAAGGGGTTGGGGAATTTGGAGGCTTAAGGGGGTGGGGTGCCTGGGAGATTTAGGGGCAGGGAGAGTTTTGAGATTTAGGAAGGTGGGGATTGAGGAGTTTGGGGAATTTGGGGGCCTGGGGAGCTTAGGGAGCTAGGGAGAGGGGTGTAGGACTCGGAAGCAGTAAGGGAATTTAGGGAAGTTGGCAGGTTGGGAAGAGTTTGTAGTATTAGTGGGTCACGGGTTTGGGGGAGTTAGTATGGATGTTAGGGATGGGGGAGTTTAGGGGGTCAGGTTTGATGGAGCAGCTGCAGCACCACCCTCTTCCCCCTTTTCCAGCCCATTGTCCTGGTGCCTGCAGGCCAGGCTCAGCAGCCAGGCATCTGGCACAGGAACCGACAGGCCTGGTGGCTGGCAGCAAAGTTCGGGCCCCTGCCTACCTCTGCTGTCTCTCTCTGGGCGCTGGGTCTTCGGCGATGGCGGC